GCGTCCAGCGGTTTTAGTGAAAACAAGGGTTTGGTTGGGGGGTTCATGATCAATCTCACGGACTCATAAAAGCTGGTCTTGGTCATTGTTATTTATGGATTTTCACCTAAGCAGGTCCAAAATCATACCCACATATTCTTTAATTTGTTCAGGGGTTGTTAACGATCCCAATTACGCTCACAAAGAAGGCTGATACCGTTGTCCAACAGGAGTCCAGCTGTTTTCCGGATTCCACTTTATAACATTCACATCAATTTTAGGCACAGTAGAACCCCGATATAACAAAAGGCCAAGGGACTTGCAAAATATGCTCTTTTTAACGAGATTTCGTTATGTCGAGGTTCTTTTTCACAAATTTCACTATTACTGAGGCGGACAATATTGTTCGTTTATACCGAGGACTTCGTTATATATAGGTTCGTTACATATCGAAATTCCACTGGGTATAACATGAAATATGACCGGGAGATCTGTATAAGGGCATTATTGCCCTATACAAACTACCAGATGTCATTTTAAAATCTATTTTGGTAATACACACACACAAAAAAGAAAAAATTAAAAGTTTTCCCCATAGGTAGAAGGCAGAAGTAAATGTTTCTGTCATAGATTAACCTCTTTGTGAATATTCAAGATGGCCCACCCTGCTATTGACGGCTACAGTCGTCGCATATTGTACGTTTTTAACACTCAATGTCACCAAAAGTCACTCATATTTAATCCACTCTGACCTTAAGTTACACACTTAAAAATAAATTCAGTGGTTTAACCACTTTTCAAATATCCTCGATGGCTGCACTTAATTTAAAAATCTTTCCCGTTTTCGATGTTCAACGATTAAAAACCATGGGTTAACCCCTTTGGAAATATCCAAGCTGGCCGCACCCAATATGGAATGTAAATATCCCCTGTTTGTTTGTGGGCGTGTCTCGTACACTTTCGGCACAGTGTGGTCTATTTTTGGAGCCCGGCACGATGATATAGAATTTTTTATATTATTAATTTCGTGTTTTTGATGTTGTGTGTAATTCGTTTAACTTAAATACTTTTGTTATCGCATTCTGTGTAGTTTTTTTGTAGCTTTTTCAATATTCGTATTTTTCTGTATTTATACGTAACGCGGTGCCAAGAACTTTGTTACGTGATCGTTGTTTCAATTTCCCGTAAGTCCATCAGGCCTATGGTTGCTACAACCAGTTGCAAAAAGACTTGAATACCTCGCCTTTCAGACCCCTTCCTCTCCCTTCTCAAAGTTGGTTACAATAAGAGATCATGCTGAAGTTTTCGAGGAACAACATAGAAAATAGGGGAGGGAGGCGGGAGTTGTTTAACCTCTGAGTTGTGTAATTTTAAGCGATGTTTAGTAAAAAATAGCGTTTTTCTGGTCGAGTGTCTCGAGTAGTTCAGTTGTATCATTTAAAGTTTTCTTTTTCTTCTATGTTAGTGGTTAAAGATATCTTGTTAGTGTAGTTTTCTGCTTTTTTGCTTGTTTTCATTTTTAGTTTGCTTTACCTTTTAAGGTAACTTTAAAGTTTTTTTTTTTGGCATAGATTTCAGTTCGCATTTATTAATTCCATGTCTTCTTTCCCTTCGTTGAATTTTGTTCCAGTGAATAGTCACTAGTAAAGATTTATCTTTGAAGTGTACGTACAGTGTAATTTACAATACATTCAGGAAGGAATTTCCCAAAGATATACGCCCTGGCCTCAAATAAGGTAAATAAACGAACATTTATTCCACTTATTAACTGCAAAATAGTTACAAAGTAGTAATGTAGACAAGTACCAAATAGCTGACTTTTCCTACGGTTAATTTAATATGTGAATATGGAAAAGTTGTTCCCTTCGGATTTTGTAGTCATCTTAATTTCCATGGACTAGTATTTTAACAGTTACAACGTTTTAGGAAAATTACAGTTTCCAGTGACATTAACAATTACTAACTTTCCTAACCATTCGCCATTTTCACATCTCTCATAATACACATTGTTTGACCCCCTCTCCCCCCAAAATTTGCATAACCTTGCATAACCTTTGTTTTGTAGTTTTTCCTGGGTATTACAGCCGTCCCAAGAGAAATAGAAGACAATGCTTATGCAAAATTTTGGGGTCAAACAAGGTGTCGCATTACTGGGAGATGGGCAAATTGCGAATTGAATTTTGTCCACTTACCTAGGAAGCCTTTTTCAAAATGGACATAATTTATTATTAATGAATATTTATCACAAACGAACAAACAAAAGCACAAGCGCAAGGATAAAGACCTTGGTTTACAGTAAAAACTGCCAAGATGCAAGCATCAACAAAAGCGCCGGAAATAGCAAGGATCAAATTTTTTTCCTTTTCTTTTGCTTGCGCCTTTGCTCCTAGTATCACAATAAATACTATCATAATGTAATAAGGAGAAAGGCAATAAGAAAACCCGGTGCTTTCATACTTAGCAGCTGTTACTAAGGACAAAAAAAAAACTAAAAAGAATCCAACAAAGTTAATAAAGGAACCTATTACCCCAAAACAAAAGAGCTAAGAAAAATAGAATTTATTTTGAAAAAAGGTTATTTTAATAGCCGTGGCAGGAACAACGCTTGTGGGATGATTTTTCAGTTTTTGAGCTTTCGAGGAATTATTCTTAGAACAGCTAGCCCAAGCCACCCTAAAATAATCAAACTGTGGCTGTACTAATGAACTGCACCGGGTAAGTAGAATCCCGAGTCAAAAGGATAAAATGCCGACTGTGTCTGATGGAGCTGATGCCAGAGGAAATGTCCTTTGAAAGATTCTTATCAATGTAAAGTATTTTGATGCTTAGAAAAAGAGATTCGTTGATAGCATTGAGTCATACAATATTTCTCTAGCACCAATCAATAGAAACTCAGTCTTAGTCCTATTCAAGGTCAGTTTGTCCACTCCAAGCGACAATCGGAGTTGGGTGTGTGCCTGAGTACATAATACTAAGGGATGGGTGGGTTCATGCACAATGAGGGGTGAGGGTTTATGCACACAATACCAGGGGTTGGGTGAGGGCTTGGGTGCACAATACCATGGGTTGGGTGAGGGCTTGGTGCACAATACCAGGTGTTGGGTGAGGGCTTGGGTGCACAATACCAGGTGTTGGGTGAGGGCTTATGCACACAATACCAGGGGTTGGGTGAGGGCTTGGGTGCACAATACCATGGGTTGGGTGAGGGCTTGTTGCACAATACCAGGTGTTGGGTGAGGGCTTGGGTGCACAATACCAGGGGTTGGGTGAGGGCTTGGGTGCACAATACCAGGGGTTGGGTGAGGGCTTGGGTGCACAATACCAGGTGTTGGGTGAGGGCTTGGGTG